CACACACACACACACACACACACACACACACACAGCCACACACACACTCACACAGACACACAGACACACACACACACACACACACACTGATCCACTGTCCTGATTCCGTCTGAATCCTGGAGCCCAGTTTTCCTCCAGTGTGCGATGTGCATAACCAGTAATAGTTCGGTAATAAATAAATAAATAAATAACTCCAGTAATAAATGCACCGGGAGGAAGAGAGGGAGCCACAGTTGATGCGTTGTATTATGGGAAACCCATTAAAACCGGTACGGGGGGGGGGGGAATTGGCCGGGGCTTTTACTGGCCGACCCTGGACCTTCCTGGAAGACGCTTTAGAGTTTAGAGGATAATGGACCTGAGACCTGAGATCCATTATGTCAGAGCTAGAGGGGGGGGCACTGTGGGAAAGGCTTCAACTCTGACTGTGTTTAACCCTATAATGCCAAATGTGTCATATTTGATTCATACGGTTTTCTGAATTCTTTTGGATCTGAGACTTTCTGCATCATTCAGTGGTAAAAGCTTTGCTCAAACCCCTGTTGTACACATTCAGATATACCTGATAACAGCCAGTAGAAGACTACACCAAAATACATTTTTGACTTATTGCACGCTAATTTGATCAAAATAATTTCTGTAAAAAATAAAGTAAAAAATAAAAACCCTAAATTAAGCAAAAATAAGCAAAGAATAAGAATATAAACACAAAGTAAAAAATAAAAACCCCTACTTTATACAAAAAAATAATAATAAACCCTAAATTAAGCAAAAATAAGCAAAGAATAAGAATATAAATACAAAGAAAAAATAAAAAACCCTAAATTAAGCAAAAATAAGCAAAGAATACAAAGTAAAAAATAAAAACCGCTAATTTATGTAAATAAAAATAAATAAATAAAAACCCTGAATTAAGCAAAAATAAGCAAAGAATAAGAATATAAATGCATCGTGAAAATAAACCCCCCACATTTTTACAAAGAAAAAAGAAAAAGAAAAAACTCTAAATTAAGCAAAAATAAGCAAAAAAATAAGAATATAAATGCATCGTGAAAATAAAGACCCCTAAATTAAGCAAAAATAAGCAAAAAATAAGAATATAAATGCAACGTGAAAATAAAGACCCCTAAGAAAATATGGAGTTTGGTGGATAAATTGACCTGGTTGTGTAATCCTGAGTTTTTCTGGGTTCTCACCTTGACCGGCATGGCAAAGAATAAGAATATGAATACAAAGTAAAAAATAAAAAAACTTAATTAAGCAAAAATAAGCAAAAAATAAAAAAACTAAATTAAGCAAAAATAAGCAAAGAATAAGAATATAAAACAACGTAAAAAATAAAAAAACTTAATTAAGCAAAAATAAGCAAAAAATAAAAAAACTAAATTAAGCAAAAATAAGCAAAGAATAAGAATATAAAACAACGTAAAAAATAAAAAACCCTAATTCATATAAAGAAAAAAAATTAAATAAAAACCCCTAAATTAAGCAAGAATAAGCATTATAATAAGAATATAGATACAAGGTGAAAATAAAGACCCCTAATAAAACACAGGAGTTTGGTGGATAAATAGACCTGGTTTTATATGGTATTCTCTATGTCTAATCCTGAGTTTTTCTGGTTGTTTTTCTCACCTTGACCGGCATGGCGCCCGTCCTGGCGTTGC